TGTGTGTGTGTGTGTGTGTGTGTGTGTGTGTGTGTGTGTGTGTGTGGCTGACTATCCAACACAGAGATGACACCTTCTGGTCAGCAGGGGCATGAACAGCCTTCAAATACAAGAAGATCAGTCTTTTTCTTCCTTGTTTTATTTTGAAAAATTTCTGCCACAATTTTATTTTGAAAGAAAAGTACAAAATAAAAGATCTGTTACGTTTCTGCAAAACTTCATGGGTTTTCTGAGATGATGTGAGCATGTTAGAGAACCTGCCACAGCTGCCCCCCGGTGTCCTCTGCCTCTTCATGTGAACCCAAACTGACTCCATGATGTTTAGATCAGGACCCTCTGGAGGGCCGTACCATCTGTTGTGAGACTCATTCTTCAGCGGCTGAAGCTGCAGTTCCTCCTGAACCAAACTGTGTGTTTAGCTTGATGGTTTTATTGCCAAATGGTTAAAAATAAAGAAGTGCTCAAACATGCTTCCCTGAAGTGTGACCCCCAGTTTGCTTTAGGCCCCAATTACACAACTGTGGATTTTTTTTTTGCTGCATTTGTACCTTGTGACTACAAACTGTGTTTCAAAGTAAAAACAAACTATGTTAAAATTTTTATTCAATCAGTGTGGATTCAGAGTTTTTCAGAAACGATGAAGAAGAAGCTTATTTCACTCAAGCCTGCAGTTAATTTCTGCAAAAGAAACCAAAACAATAATGGAGCTGAATTTGCAGATTATTTTTATTTTCGTTTCATTTTTTGTCTAACTCACTTTATCCTAAATTAAATCATTGTTGTAAAATAAAAAAATAGTAACAAAAAAGAAACAATTATTTTTGGAAACTCTTCAGCCAAACTGCAAAGATTCTTACATTTTATTTCAACAAACTCATATAATTCAGCAATTTAGAAAAAAAAAATCTGCTGGTCAATCCAATATTTTTTTATGCAAAGAATTAACATAATTTAACAAAACATGTTTTTAGCACAAAATGTAATGAAATTTGTTTTTGGTAGATTATTTCTTTGTTGTAACAAAGCTTCTTGGCAACAAATCTTATAATGTTGGAAAATCTGTTCATTTCCCTTTTAAATGGTGTCGTATTTGTAAGGAACATGCATCTGTGGGATAAGCAGTAGAGCTGAGTATGTGGGTTGGGCACATGAAAG